AATTAAATGTCATCAAAAATTTAGGCCAAAATGTGTTATGCTCCATGTCTTTGCTAAAAAAAAAATCCCAATACGTGTAAATTAATTGGTTGACTAGTAATGGTGGTGATCAGCGACTTATAGCGGGACTGCGGCGGGCATTCTGACACTGGGGGGGAACTGACTGGTGTTACTGGTACAATAATATTTTATTTAGTACTTGTAACAAGATACAAGTTAAGCAATAAGGTCCCTCGCAGGGGACCATTGTGGAAACAAAAGAGATGAGAACAATTAAGTAAACAAACTAGCCCATCACAAACAGTTTCCTCACAAAGGGGTATGAACATCCAATGGATGACGCCTGAAGCGCGTCAACATGTAATAGAGGGAGTAGTAAACTTGGGGGGGGGGGGGGGGTGGTAAGGATGAGGAAGGGAAAGGAGAAGAGGCAGCGGGATAAGAAAAAGTAGATAGAAAGACAAGGTCAGAAGGAGAGAAAAAGTGCCTGTGAGCAGAAGCCTCCCCAAATGGATTGGGATACCCAGACTGGATGAGGGTAGAGTTGGGGTGAGCATAAGACTTTTGAGTGGAAATCATGAAGTATGCTTGACATTTTCTCGTGGACCATGAGCGTGGTCAAGATGTTCCTCATTTCGGCAAAGCTGACAGTGGGCTTCTTCCAAGCCCTAGTAATGGCATGCTCTGCCACTATGAAGAGGTGTGTGGCCAATTTTTGCTGACGGGACAGAAGGCCAGGAAGCGGGCAATGGAGAAACGCATGTTGGAGGGTCTCTTAGGAAGGTAGAATAAAACAGGGATGAGAGGAGGATATAAACCCAGGACCAGAAGCCCACCAAACAAGGGCAGACCACCATTATATGGATCTCATCTTCACATAGGCCACAGCCCTTAAATCATCTATCACCACATGACGAGCTCACGTTTGCTATGCGAGCTGGGACCCAGTACCATCGGAGGAGAAATTTGTATGCTGCCTCCATGGTGGTCATGTTGAACAAAAATATGGCTACAGCAGGCCAGGCCCTGTTCCAATCTTCTAGATCTACATAAGTTGTGAGATCACGTTCCCACTTAAATGTAAGGGTGAGGGCAGGGGGAATTACCCACGGATAGATGGGCGTTGATTGAGAAAATGATTCCGCAGGTGCCAAGGGAGTTCTGACAAATGTGCTCAAAGACCGTTTTCTGAAATGGGAAGGAGGAATTGTGGCGAAGAGGGGAGATCCAGTGTCGGAGCTGAAGATATTGGTAAAATTCAGCTGGAGGGGCCTCGTGGGTCTCACAAATGGAGGCCCAAGAAGGAAAGGAGTTGTAGTTTAAGAAGTGGCATACGTGAGAACATCCATGGGTGGGCCACCAGGCAAAAGCGTGGGGTTGGTCCACACCCAGGGGGGACAGAGGGTTGGTCAGAAGGGGAAGAAAAGGGAGAAAGGGGGACATCAAATTAGCCAAGTAACGTACCGAGTCCTAAAGGCATAGGCTGTGGGTCATAAGGGGACTAAGAGGGGAGGGTTAGGAAGAGGGAGGAAGCCAGAGAAGGGCCGAAACTGGGATAGGGGCACAATTGGGGATTTCCATTAGTACCCACAGGGGAATGTCCTAGGTAGCATGCAACATTGCTGACTTGGAGTCACTGACATCCCCAGTGACACCAATACAGTGATCAGTGCTAATAAAAAGCACTGACACTGTACTAATGACACTGGGCAGGAAGGGGTTAACATGTGGGGCGATCAAAGGGTTAACTGTGTGCTGTTTCACAATGTGCTGTGTGAGTGTTTTCAACTGTAAGCACACTGCTTTGTATGGCTCTGCTATCCAGAGCCATACAAAGCAGAGTGCAGGAGCTGACATGGGAGAGATCTGTGTTGTTTATAGACAGGTCTCTCCCCCGTCGGAGATACTTAGCAATCACCGGGTGCCGGCGAGTAATCACCGTCCGGGACCCGGTGATTGACAGCCGATGCCACGAATGGTGGCATGGGTAGGGACTACCCGGGACTGCAAAATCACGTATGTATACGTGATTTTGTGCACCGATGCCACTATGTAGCCATTTCTGCTATAGGGCAGTGCGGAAGCGGTTAATTAGTAGGACACAAAAGTGATAAACATGGAGTAAGTGAAAGATTAACCATGACTTTTTGTATCTGATGCCCTTTTCACTGAAATTGATGGAAAGGCATTAAAATGAGTGTCAATATGAATTGAAATGTGTTTCTGTTGATTTCAACAGAAAACACATCAGAAAAGAGTGCAAGGGTTTGAATCAATGCTCAGAAAATTTGGAAAATGGTTCACAGAAAAAAAACAATTTTGGTAGTGGTGCCGAAAAATTATCGGCTGAAAATAGATTTATCTGTGGTTTGCTGATAGGAAAAAAAAATAGGTGCCAATAATTAACTAAATCACGTTCCATTGACTTCAATGCAAAAATACCTCTAATTAAGATTTTTAATTTTATCTACATTTCATTTTATTTTCTGCCCAATTTTTGTGTGTTACTTTCAATAAAAGTTATTTTACGTTACTGGATTGCATTTTTTTAAAATTCATGTTCATTTAAATTCATGATATTAACCCCTTCGTGCCGGTGCCTCCCGGCCCTTTAAGAGTTTCAGAAGCCGGGAGGTGTGGCGGGGTTTAGGGTCATGTGAGCGCCATGACGCGCCGTCACGGCGGTCACATGATCGGGAAAGGTCCCAATCGATAGAGCAGATCGGGGACCTTTCCCTGAGTTCCGGACATGTGTACTGGGAGCGTGCAGGACGCGTGCTCTCGGCACATATGTCCTTTTTTAATAGAACGCAAATGTGCGGCCGCTCGGCGTCTAGGCCTAGGCGCTGGGAGGTCGCACATTTGCGTTCGGCCGGCGTGAAGAGGTTAATTAAAAAGTCAAATATAATACAGTTATATATGAAAAACACCTTTTTTCTTAAAACTTTTGTTATCGGCCAAGTGCATCCTGAATTTCTGGTTTTGTTCCTGAATTTCGCACCATTACAATCTGGGGTAAAAAAAATGGCTGTGGCACTGTATGTGTTTATGTTGTACCACATATTTAAGTGGCAGGGATGGGAAAATTTCTACTGCAGAAACATTCTATATCTCAACGAATTCAAATCTTAATGGAAGAAAGAATTACACACAGGGAGTTGGATTGTTATTGATATCTGCAGCCTTTAAGGTGACCATTTTAAAGTGTTAGTAAACCCTGGACCCTGCATTCACTATATCTGCTCTCCTCGTACCCTGCATTCACTATATCTGGCTTACCCTGACCCTGCATTCACTATATCCGGTATCCCCGAACCCTGCATTCACTATATCCGGTATCCCCGAACCCTGCATTCACTATATCCGGTCTCCCCGGACCCTGCATTCACTATATCTGCTCTCCCCAGACCCTGCATTCACTATATCTGCTCTCCCCAGACCCTGCATTCACTATATCTGCTCTCCCCAGACCCTGCATTCACTATATCCGCTCTCCCCGGACCCTGCATTCACTATATCCGCTCTCCCCGGATCCTGCATTCACTATATCCGCTCTCCCCGGACCCTGCATTCACTATATCTGCTCTCCCCAGACCCTGCATTCACTATATCCGCTCTCCCCGGACCCCGCAATCACTATATCTGGTCTCCCTGGACCCTGCATTCACTATATATCCGCTCTCCCCGGACCCCGCATTCACTATATCTGGTCTCCCTGGACCCTGCATTCACTATATCCGCTCTCCCTGAACCTTGCATTCACTATATCTGCTCTCCCCGGACCCTGCATTCACCATATCTGGTCTCCACGGACCCTGCATTCACTATATCTGGTTCCCAGGACCCTGCATTCACTATATCCGGTATCCCCGAACCCTACACTCACTGTATCCGCTCTCCCCGGACCCCGCATTCACTATATCTGCTCTCCCTGGAATCTGCATTCACTATATCTGCTCTCCCCGGAATCTGCATTCACCATATCCGGTCTCCCCGGACACTGCATTCACCATATCCGGTCTCCCCGGACACTGCATTCACCATATCCGGTCTCCCCGGACACTGCATTCACCATATCCGGTCTCCCCGGACCCTGCATTCACCATATCCGGTCTCCCTGGACCCTGCATTCACTATATCTGGGCTCCCTGGACCCTACATTCACTATATCCACTCTCCCCGGACCCTGCATTCACTATATCTGGTCTCCCCGGACCCTGCATTCACTATATCGGGTCTCCCACAGTACACAGAACATGTAAATGAAATTATTTTAGTAAATATAAACTGCTAAATACCTTTCCCATCAGCAGTTAGAGCAGTCTTGTGACTTCTTTCAGTGCCTACCCAAGCACTGGTTAAAGCTTGTAGGAGGAGTTTTCTCTAGGAGAATGCAGAACCCCTCTGTCTGGGCAGTGCTGATTGGCTCTGTGCTGATCACATGCACCCTCCCAAAAAAAAAAAACCTCTCTAGCAATGCACACCAAATTGAGCATGTGCAATGTCTCCACATGATATGTCTTATCAGGAGATAAGAGGGGAACACTGGAAGAAGGGGAGGATCAGAGAAGTCAGGATCAAACATCCTTTTTACACAATGCAGAGGATTAACCCCATAGGTTCCACAGTGAGTATACCAAGCATGCTTTACTGCATATACAGACTGATTTTACTGTTGTGGGTTTAGTAACATTTTAAGCTGTCTTGGATATGACTTCTCTTTACCAGCAGGAGATATGGTGAAGCTATGAAAGTCACTCCTGAACATTACACTGATTGTTGTTCTTTGAAAAATCACACCAAAACCACAATAAAAATTGTATGTTTCTGCTGCCTTGGCAGCTATTCAACCTGTTGGGCTATAAACTCAAATCAAACTGCATATCTGCCAAAAAAAAACATAAAAACAAAAAACACAAAGGGAATGAATATAGTTAAGGGTGTGTCTTTAAAATTAAAAATTCTTGACTTTTATAAAAGGCAAATAGGTACAGGAAATGTTAGCTGCCACATGCTGAACCAAGAACCTCTTGCCCCTTGTGGAAACTCATATGTGATGTAAGAGATGTTTTTCTTGTAAACCTTTTCCCACATGCCGAACACGAGAATGGCTTCTCTCCCGTGTGTGATCTCTGGTGTGTGGTGAGGCTTCCTTTCCGGGTAAAAGATTTCCCACACTCAGAACAGGAAAATGGGCGATCGCTCAGGTGAATTATTTGGTGTGCAACCAGACTTGGCCTTTTGGTGAAGCTCTTCCCACACTCTGAACATGAGAATGGCCTCTCACCGGTGTGAGTCCTCTGATGTAACATAAGAGTTACTCTTTGGCTAAAACTCCTCCCGCATTCGGTACAGAAAAATGGTTTCTCCGCCGTGTGCGTTCTCTGATGTAACGTGAGTTGTTGCCTCTGGGTAAAACATTTCCCGCACTCAGAACACACGTACGGCCTGACAGAGGTGTGAATCCTCTGGTGTGCAATAAGACTTCCACTTTGGGAAAAACGCTTCCCACACTCTGAGCAGGAAAAAGGCTTCTCCCCCGTGTGAACTCTTTCGTGTATCTCAAGGAGCGACTTTTGACTAAAACATTTTCCGCATTCAGGACAGGGAAGGGCCTTCTGAGATCTGTGATACCTCTGGTGTTTAGCGAACTTTGACTTCTGCCTAAAGGTCTTCCCGCACTCCAAACAGGAATACGGCTTCTCATCTGGGTGAGATCTCTGGTGTACGACGAGTTTGTCTCTCGAGGTAAAACCTTTCCCACACTCAGAACAGGGAAACATTTTAGGTGACTGATCAGGAAGACATTTTGTGTGAGAAGTTGGATTAACAGGATTTTTTTCTGAAGGTCGGTTAGATGTAATATGGTTATCCTCTGCTTCATCTTTTTTGGAGCACTGACTTGAGTCATCCCTTTGGTATTGTCCATCTGGAGAAAAAAAAAATGACGTGTAATAGGGATGATAAATAAGAAGTGTTCTGAATTCAACCCACTGTGTAACGGCAAATGCTGAGTGCAATAACTAAAAGCAAGTCATATACACGCACACAATCAACATGCAGTCACACACAGGTACTTTTAACCAGCATTTACACCATTACATATTCTACGCATGTGAAAGACCCTCTACCCAATGAATACCTGCCCTGGCACATCATAGCATTCAATCGGCACTCCAAGAAATAACAGAATCCAACTGCAATATTCTTGCACTGTCAAAACCTCCACTTTTATTATCACATGAAACACCGGACGACATGTCTTATAGTCATCACAATCTGCATAACAACACACACCAATAATAATGTGAGCATTACAGCATGAAATACACACATCATTTGACAGCGTCACAGCATAGAATTAATATATTTCCAAAGCTATGGGAAGACGGGAAGGAACAAATCCCATTGGAACCAAACTGCCCAGGGGGTCACAGGGAAGCTGTAAGCACGGCCAACCGAGGAGCCCATATAGCCTTGGCAAGAATCCCAGCGTCAGAGCGTCCTCTGACAACTAGGGAGCTTCCTAATCGATCCGACTTTTAAACCATTTTTCTGGAAGCTTTCCAATAGTGGGTGGGCACCACACCTACCATAGGAGGAGCTAGCAGAAAGGTTCCGCGAGGATAACAAAGTCACGTTCAACTACCATACTGATTCCATATTGTTATCTGAAAAGTCACACTTTTGCTTTAGTTCAACTTCTTATCTACCCTGAACTTCTCCTCATCTACCCTAGACTTAAGGATTTCTAACTTCTCAAGCAAGTAGACATCTTTAACTACTTGCCAACCGCAGATAGCCGAATGACGGCTACACTGCGGCCGGCTAGTTCTGGGAGGGCGTCATTTGATGTCCTCCCAGAATGCGCTCTCCTGCGCGCCCCCGGCGGCACGTTTCTGCCGATCTCCATGATCGCTGTGTCCTACAGACACAGCTGATCACGTGATGTGGTAAAAGGCCAATCACAGCGGCCTTTTACCACGTGATCAGCCGTGTCCAATGACACGCTGATCAACGGGAAATGCAATTGCCAGATCTCGGCTGCACTTTCCTCACGCTGTCACAGCTTGAGGAAAGTACTGCCGAAAACAGGCAGTTGTCAGAGCAGGGATTGACACCGATCAGCAGGGCACTGAAGATCAGTGCCCTGATGATCGGTGCCCAGCAGTGCCACCCACCAGTTCTGCCCACATGTGCCACTCAGCAGTGTGCCCACCTGTGCCACTCAGCAGTGCGCCCACCTGTGCCACCCAGCAGTGCGCCCACCTGTGCCCAGAAGTGCCACCTACCTGTGCCCACCCACCTGTGCCTACCAGTGCCACCCACCTGTGCCCAGCAGTGCAGCCCAGCAGTGCTGCCAGTCAGTACACAGCGGTTGTGCCAGTCAGTGCCCAGCAGTTGCGCCAGTCAATGCTTAGCAGTGTCGCCAGTCAATGCCTAGCAGTGCCGCCAGTCAGTGCCACCTATCAGTGCTATCAGTGCCGCCTATCCGTGACACCTCATTAGTGCTGCCTATCAGTGCCCATCAGTGCCGCCTCATCAACGCACATCAGTGAAGGAGAAAAATTACCTGTTTGAAAAATGTTATAATAGAAACAAAGAAACTTTTTTGTTTCAAATTTTTTTGAACTTTTTTTGTTTATAGCACAAAACGTAAAGCGCCCAGCGGCGATTAAATACCACCAAAAGAAAGCTCTATTTGTGAGAAAAAAATGATACAAATTTCATATGGGTACAATCTTACATGATCGCGCAATTGTTAATCAAAGTGCGACATCGCTGAAAGCTGAAAATTGGCCTGATAAAGAAGGGGGTATAAGTGCTCGGTAGGCAAGGGGTTTAAACAGATTTTTATCTTCTAATGTGACATTACTAGATGTCATAAACACGTTCATTTCCACAAACAAGTTATTTTCTTACTCTAAGCAGAATATCTTGTGACTCTGTTCCTTTGGCTTAGAGAAATTACATTATTATTATTATTATTATTATTATACAGGATTTATATAGCGCCAACAGTTTGCTCAGCGCTTTACATTATAGTGGGAGACAATACAGTAACAATACAGTTCAATACAAGAGGGATTTGAGGGCCCGTCTCCTTGGAGCTTACAATCTAGGAGGGAGGGGTGAATGGTACAGTAGGTAGTAACTGTGGGGAATGGAGTGGTTGGAAGAGTAGAGGATTCCAGAATTAGCAGAGGGCGGGATAGGCTTCCCTGAAGAGATAGGTTTTCAGAGATCGCCTAAGGCAAGTAGAGTAGGCGATAGTCTGATAGATTGGGGTAGGAAGTTCCAGAGGATGGGAGACGCCCTGGAGAAGTCTTGGAGACGAGCATGGGAGGAGGAGAAAAGGGAGCTAGAGAGTAGGAGGTCTTGCGAGGAGCAGAGAGTACGGTTTGGGTGATATTTAGAGACAAGATCGGTTATGTAAATTGGGGCAGTGTTGTGGACGGCTTTATATGTTATTGTTAATGTTTTGAATTTTATCCGTTGGGCAACTGGGAGCCAGTGGAGGGATTGGCAGAGAGGGGTGGCGGATACAGAAAGGTAAGTAAGTGAGGTGGATGAGTCTGGCAGCAGCGTTCATGATAGACTGGAGGGGGGATAACCTGCGATGAGGTCGGCCAATGAGGATTGAGTTACAATAGTCGAGGCGTGATATAACAAGGGAGTAAATAAGTTGCTTAGTGGTTTCCAGGGTTAGGAACGGTCGTATCTTGGAGATGTTGCGGAGGTAAAGTCTGCATGATTTTGTCAGCGATTGGATCTGGGGCTGGAAGGACAGATGGGAGTCTAGATTACACCGAGTACCCTGGCATGAGGGGATGGACTGAGGATGGTGTTACCGATATTTATGGAGAAGTCAGGGGAGGTGGCACGGGCTGGGGGGAAAACTAGGAGCTCAGTTTTGGAAAGGTTGAGTTTGAGGAAGTGGAGTGACATCCATGCCGATATGTCACTTAGTAGGCTAGCGAAGCGGGTGGAAACTGAAGGTGTGAGGTGAGGGGTAGACAGATAGATTTGCGTGTCATCAGCATAGAGATGGTAATTGAAGCCGTGAGAGTTTATCAAGTGACCAAGGGAGGAGGTGTAGATGGAGAAGAAAAGGGGTCCAAGGACAGAACCTTGAGGGACCCCTACAGAGAGAGGGAGTGAAGAGGAGGTGGCAGCGTTATAGGTAACACTGAAGGAGCGCTGCGATAGATAGAAGGAGAACCAGGAGAGAGCAGAGTCGCTGAGGCCAAAAGAGTGTAGTTTTTTGAGGAGGAGGGGATGGTCAACCATGTCAAAAGCCGCAGAGAGGTTGAGTAGACATCAGTCACCTCTCATGCCCCTGGCATCTGGGCAACAATGCTTTATTGTAAAAATTACCCAAGAAACAAAGGGTCCAAGGCCAACACATTTCATAGGCATTACACCACTGTCATTTTATTTTTGAGTTTGAGGAGTACACAGCTTTCCATTAAATTACCTACCCCAGCCCCTGGAATTTGAGGCATAAACAGCATCGATTTGGAATACATACCCTACCTTCTGGTACTTAGGAATAAATAGCCTGCTGCAGAATAACTTGAGGATACACAGCCTTTCATAGGAATACCTACCCCACCCCCTGCAAGTTGAAGCATACACAGCTTCAAATTAGAATAAATACCCCCGCCTCTGCTGAACTTTACAAGTACACACCTTTTAATAGGAAAGCCAACCCTTGCAGAGTACACTGCAACCAACTGGCATACAGATCAGGAACATAGGAATAAATACGCTGCCCATGCAGAACTGAGGAGTACATAGCTTTAAAAACAAACTATCATAACCCTTAGAACTTAAGAACACAGCTTCCAATCAGCATATATTCACGGCCCACACAGAACTTTGGAACAAATACCCGCCACTGCTGAAGTGTACACACCTTTTAATAGGAAAGCCAACCCTTGCAGAGTGTGCCACATCCAACTGGCATACACATCAGGAACATAGGAATAAATACGCTGCCCATGCAGAACTGAGGAGTACATAGCTTTAAAAACAAACTATCATAACCTTTAGAACTTGAGAAGAACACAGCTTCCTATCAGCATATATTCACGGCCCACACAGAACCTTGGACAAATACCCCACCCCTGCAGAACGTGACTGTATTTGGTGTTTATTACTCACCTGTGCTGACCTCTGGAGGGATTTCCTCCTCCTTACAGAACTCATCATTGCTCTCATCCGTCTCTTCTGCTTCATCTTTGACTAGAACTTTGATCATATCTTCATCCTAAATAAAACACATTGATAAAAAAACTTATATAAATGAAGACTAAAACAGACTGTTACCACACTAGGACCAAACACACCAATTCCATTATAGAAAGCTGTGATTTTTAAAAATTAGTAAATCGGGAAAAAAAAAAAATCAGACTTTTTATCTATTTTTATTACGAAGCAGGTTTGACTGTTTGGAATTTAAAGCCAAAAAACACACTGGGGGGGCATTTATAAAGAATGTTGTGGACACTCTATAGGAGTCTGTTGGTCCTCCACACCACAACTGGCAGTGCTTGGGACAAATTCATGTATCAGTCAGAAACAAATATAATCATCTGCTAGAGGAGGCATCCATGATGGTCATTCCTTCTTCAGTGCGGTCACTCCTTGGTCACTATCTGTCACACAGACAAGCGCATAGCCAAGGAGTTTTGTTGTGGGGTGGGGAATTCAGAGAGCCTAGTAGTTCCTCATCAGGTCCATCTTACCTGTAATTGACAACAGACAGCAGCGCTTGGATCCCATAGCCACTCTAGACCAATAGCAACTAAGGAATCCTTCCACTGCCATCCACTGTCAGCCACAGGCTCATTACACCGACTCTTATTTGATGTTAAAGCGGAATTATACTACATCTGAGCACCACAAACAAAAAACCCTATTTAATTCATTTTTAATATTCAAAGCAAACTCACCCATCCATCTATGTCTCTTTTGCTAAGAAATCACTTTGAAACCCCCCCCCCCCCTAGGACTTATGGCTGTGGCCATCTTGAGTAAGGGCAGATGATTCATGTAGCATTTGCTTCCTGGAATCTATCTACCCTTAGCCCAGGCATATGCAAGAGGGTGTGCTTAGCTGAGAAAACCCCTTCCTCCTCTCCTGAAGGCTCCTGGGATGTATGACATAATTTGCTAGGCATGGAAACCAGGAAGTAACTGAAGAAATGTGAAGAAAAGGTTTAAAAGAAGCAAATTTTAATATACTTTCCTATTCATTTACTAATGCCAGAAGCATAAGGATTAAAAATAGTCAATGTTGATTGAGAGTGTGAAGTTCAAGTTTAACCACTTCCGCGCCACCCTATAGCAGAAATACTGCTACAGGGCGGCATGGGTGTGCAAAATCACGTATGTATACGTGACTTTGCAGTTCTGGGTAGGGGGCACTTGCGAGCCGTGCGCGTGCCCTACCCGCGCTAGCATTGGCGGCCTTGGCTGTCAATCACCTGGTCCCGGCTGGTGATTACTCGCCAGCACCCAGTGATTGCTGAGCATCTCCGACGGGAGAGAGACCTGTGTATAAGCAACACAGATCTCTCCCCTGGCAACTCCTGCACACTACTTTGTATGGCTCTGCATAGTGAAGCACACACACAGCCCCAATAGAGAAACAGCACACAGTTAATCACCCCACATGTTAACCCCTTCCTGCCCAGTGCCATTAGTACAGTGTCAGTCCTTTTTATTAGCACTGATTACTGTATTGGTGTCACTGGGGATGTCAGTGACACCAATCAGTTCCCTCCAGTGTCAGGATGCCCGCCGCAGTCCCGCTATAAGTTGCTGATCGCCACCATTACTAGTAAAAAAAAAAAAATTCCAGTATATATACTGCCATTTGTAGACGCTATAACGTTCATGTAAACCAATTAATTTACATGTATTGGGATTTTTTTTTAGCAAAGACAAGAAGCAGAATACATTTTGGCCGAAATTTATGACAAATTTAGATTTTTTTTTTATTTTCTTATTGGGATATGTCTAATAGCAAAAAGTAAAAAATATTGTTTTTTTTTCTCAAAAACTGTCGGTCTTTTTTTGTTTATAGCGCAAAAAATAAAAACCGCACGGTGATCAAATACCACCCAAAAGAAAGCTCTATTTGTGGGGGAAAAAAGTACGTAAATTTCATTTGGGTGCAGCATTGGATGACCGTGCAATTGTTAGTTAAAATAATGCAGCACCGTAATGAAAAAAATGTCCTGGTCAGGAAGGGGGGTAAATCCTCTGGAGGGCAAGTGATTAATTACCTCCAGTTTTGTTATCTACAAACTAAAGTTATACACCCACATGGAAGAAAAATATATTTGAAATATATTTTAAAAAATATTCTTCCCAAATATATTGACATATATTTGAAATGCTACAATTTTGGCCGTATTCAATATACTTCAACATATATTTCAATAAATATATATATATACTGCATCTTGAAATGCATTTAAATTACAAAATATATGAAAAATATTTTTAAAAATACATGTCAAATATACCGTATGTCTTTAAAAATACAAATCTACATTTTTGGAATAAATTTACAAATATCTGTAAAAATATATGTTAAAACGACTTTTTTATATGCTAAAAAAATCTAAAGAATATATTTAAAAAAATAGATATTTTTAAAAATATATTCTTCAGATTTTTTTTAACATATAAAAAAGTCATTTTAACATATACTTTTACATATATTTGTAAATGCATTCCAAAAATGTAGATTTGTATTTTTAAAGACATACAGTATATTTGAAATGTATTTTTAAAAATATTTTTTTCAGATATTTTGTAATAGAAACACATTTAAACATACAGTGTATATATATATATATATATATATATATATATATATATATATATATTTTATATTTGTTTTTTAAATATATTGAATATAGCCAAAATTGTAGTATTTCAAATATATGGCAATATATTTGGGACGAATATTTTAAAAATATATTTCAAATATATTTTTTCTTCCATATGGGCATATTTGGTATTGGTTTTTTAAAGAGACAATACAACCAGATAGATGTTACAAATAATTTCCTTTTTGACAACAGAGTGGGGAGAATTCAGTAAAGTAGGTACATGCTATATTTCTTGCACCTCAGCAGTTTTCTGTATTCTCAGTGTGTAAAAGGATAAAAAAGGGAAATGTGCATGTATTCCAGAGATGTGCTAAATGTGTTTTTTCCTATTTTGTCTTGACATATGCTTTAATAGGAAAAAATTCTTGCATAAAAAATTTGGATTTAGCTCAACACCTGGTTGAGGGGTTAAGCTAAATCCAATTTTTTATGCAATAATTTTTTGGAATACATTTTTGTGGTATCCTCCCCTCCCCTTTGTTACATAATTATTAAAATTGGTGCCTGGTAGGATCAGTACATTTTTATTATTTTCTATATGCTTTAATAGTCTCAGTTCCATCTACCTGAGGGATCTCCTGAAGTTCCTCTGTGGAATCCCAGGAATACAGAGGATGGGGACATCTCTCTGGTGTATTTCTGTTGCCGGATCCAACTGCAGGCAATGCATGTATCATGTTAGTAAAAGTGTAAAGCTATAATGCTCTATGACTTCAGTTGTCATTTGTCTGCTCAAACAACCTAAGGAATTGACCAAACCGCAACAATTCAACAGACATAGTAAACTATTACAGAGACAAAAGGATATATGTTAGTGGACACCACCACTTGTGTTAGGTAACAGAAAGTCCACAACTGCTCAAAATATCGAACTGTTCTGTACAATGTGGATGTATACAAGTTCGTCCGAAAGCACATGACATACTGAACCTTGAAGTCAATGGGCTATAGCAGTTAACGGAATTCCTAAATAAGGCTGCAGTGAGCATCAGTTAAAGAAAAAACCTAAAATATATTGAATAACTCAAGCGCTAACTATGGTGAAATAAAAACAAAAAAATTACAAATAAATGCTGTAGCCGCTAGTGCACAAACCCATGTCTCAGTGGGGCAAATTATACAATCATAATGTGAAGTGAACAATTGCTGTGCTATATAAAACAATGATACAAACCATTATATAACCAAAAAACAAAGTGAAGAAATAAATATATATTAGAAGAAAATATAGTAAAAAAAAAAAAAATATATAAATATATATATATATATATATATATGTAACAAAAACCACACAAGAATAAAAATTAAGATTATTTTAAGTGTGAATCAAATAAAAGTCAATCAAAAAATCAAGTTCAGTCAATAAAGTGTTCATTCAGTGAACTCTCCTTTGGATAAAGAACAATATGTGCATCTGTCATCAATTCCCATGCACAGATATCCTCCACCATGTATCTGCTCCCCTCACGCAGTGTGACCGCACATTATACAATGTTACGGTCTAACTGCACTTTTGGTCCCATATGGACTCAGAAGATCAGCTTGCTGAATGAAGACTCCAAAGTAAGCTTCCTCCTGATAAGCGTCTTTGTATCAGCCATATTCCTCATTAAAAAGAACTCAACATTATTATTATTATACAGTATTTATAAAGCGCCAATAATTCGCTCAGCGCTGTACATTACAAAGGGGGACAGAACAATAACAATACAATACAATGCAAAACATGAGGGGATCGAGGTCTTTCGAGCTTACAATCTAGGAGGGAGGGGATGGTGGCACAGGAGGAGAAAGCTGTGGGGGATGGAGTGGTAGGAAGAGTGGAGGAGGTCGGCAAGTTAGCAGTGGGTGTGGTAGGCTTCCTGAAGAGGTGGGTTTTCAGGGTGCGCCTAAAGGAGAGGAGAGAAGGTGATAATCTGATGGGTTGGGGCAGGGAGTTCCAAAGGATGGGTGACACCCTGGAGAAGTCCTGGAGGCGGGCGTGGGAGGAGGAGACCAGGGAACTAGAGAGAAGGAGGTCTTGTGAGGAGCGGAGTGTGCGTGTTGGGTGGTACTTGGATATTAGGTCGGTGATGTAGTTCGGGGCAGTATGGTGGTGCTTTATCCTTTTAAACCTTTATCCATCAATTAAAACATAAGAAATACACTCACGTTCCGGAGGTCTATTTTGCACCAGATATGATGAAGATCCAGTGATGTACTGATTAAACACAAGATGGCAGAATCATCTCAACAGCAGAGTCCTGCACATGTTCACAACAGACACCATGCGTAATGTGATGCAAAGCATAGCACGGGCCCACTCAATGAATGCTATTGCCTGCTGTAATGTCGTTCCAAGAGCCGTTTGTAAAGTACTACAAGCCGCTGTCCCAATAAATGGCAACGCCGTGACTCCTCCCCAACACGGTTCGTCACTAGTCACGTGACTTTATCAAGGGGATACAATTGGACAGTCCGAAAAATCAATAAATTTTTTTTGTTATCCAAAGGAGGGTCCACTGAATGAACACTTTATTGATTGAACTTGATTTTTTGATTGACTTTTATTTGATTCATACTTAAAATATTCTTGATTTTTTTTTTGTGTGTGGTTTTTATTTTATTTATATATATATATATATATATATATATATATATATATATTTACTACAATTTTTTCTTCTAATTATATATTTATTTCTTCACTTTTTTTGGTTATATAATGGTTTGTACCATTGTTTTATGTAGCGCAGCATTTTTTCACATTATGATTAAAAAAAAAAAAAAAAAAACCTGTAGTTTTTATGGTGTTACTAATCCCAGGGCCCTGCATTGACTATCCGCTCTCCCCGGACCCCGCATTCACTATATCCGCTCTCCCCGGACCCTACATTCACTACATCCGCGCTCCCCACACCCTGCATTAACTATATCTGCTCTCCCCGCACCCTGCATTCACTATATCGGACCCTCTCCCCGCACCCTGCATTAACTATATCTGCATATCTGCTCTCCCCGCACCCTGCATTCACTATATCCGCTCTTCCCGGACCTCCCTGGGAGAGCGGATATAGTGAATGCAGGGTCCGGGGAGAGTAGATATAGTGAATGCAGGGTCCTGGGTTTAGTAACACTTTAATCATCAGCTAAGAGGCACCATACTTCCCTGAAAAACACGCAGAACCTACATCAACTACCTAGTTTTACTGGATACTTCGAAAGGCCATTTTGGACCTGCTCTCACATACCATGAAATCATTTGATGTCAATCTTTTTGTTTTATATCTTTTCTATTGGCTCTTGATTTCTCTGCATATATATTTGATACTGAAATCTTCAATAACAATTAATAAAGTTACAAAAAGTCACCTAAATGCCATTTATTTCCCAAAGTTCCACTTTAAAGCGGAGCTCCACCCAAAAGGGGAAGTTCTGTTTTAATGCTTTGTCCCACGCTCCCCATTAAGGATTGGCACCTTTGGGGAGTCGGTACCCACTCCCACTTCTGCTGCGATTGCCTAAGCAATCGGAAACGGAAGTTGTCCTCCCCCTCTCCCTCCCCGCAGTCTTGTGGGACACGTGACAGATCCCTGAAGACAGATCCCTGAAGACGGGGCCACTCACAAAGCACAGCGCTTCTCGCGCATGCGCAGTGGGCGCCCACCTGTGAAGCCGCAAACTGTCACAGTCAGGTGTCCACACTCAAGATTCCGGTACCAGGGAAAGAAGACAGATGGTGAAACCAGCTGTGGTGAGGACACCGCTGGACCGAGGGACAGGTAAGTGACTGTATTTTAAAAGTCAGCAGCTACAGTTTTTGTAGCTGCTGACTTTTTTTTTTTCCAGGTGGAACTCTGCTTTAAGGATGTGAGGATAAATGTTCTTTTCCACCACAGAATTTCCAGACCAGCAATGACATTCGGTCCCTATAGTCATGGTCCCCTAGCACAGTCCATGCCAAACTTCAAAGGAGGAAAAAAGGAACCGCTCAACATATAAAAGCCTCAGAGTCATTTAATTTCATCTTCCAACACACAGACTGATCCACTGGGTATGCGAGCCTTAAACACTCAGAGGGTGCAAGCTCCTGACTGAATGAAATGCATTAGAGGATTGGCATACCTGATTGATCTGTCCATGTGTTGGAAGATGCAATAAAATTGTTCTGAGGCTTTTATATGGTGCGTGGTTCCACTTTAAGGCGAGGTTCACACCTATGCAGTTTGCGTTTGATCCGTTTCTGCAGTGCAATTTGTGTTTTTGCACATATGTTTTTGATGCTTTTTTTTCTTGTTGCTAGGCAGATTTAAAATGCAAAACACATCAAAAACACACTATATGCTTTTTTACAGCTTTTCCATTGAAGTCTAAAGAACCATAAAAGCAACTTTTTGCGTTTAAAATAGTCCCTGACCCTTTCCAAAAAAACGCACGGGTGGAAATGCGGAGATATGAACCTACCCCATAGGAAAACATGTTAAATGGACTGTAGTGCGTTTCTGCAAAATGCTGCGCAAAACGCTGCGGAAAACGCTTAGGTATGAACTTAGAGTAAAGCTTGACATCTCATTTAAAAATGGCCATGGTCTTGGAAACCAAAAAAAAAACCTGTGGGGTTGATTTACTAAAACTGGAGAGTGCAAAATCTGGAGCAGCTAAGCATAGAAACCATTCAGCTTCCAGGTTTTTGCCCCCGGTCTCATCAAAGCCGATTTTGAAATTGTGCGATGTACAGTGAAGTCGCACGATTTCAAAATTGGGTGACCTGCTGATTTCAGTCTGACACAGATGTCTATGCAAATCGCAACAAAAGTAGTGCATGCACTACTTTAGAGATCAGTGCGGCTCTGACCAAGTTGGAACTGCACCGATATGACCGCTCTAAGAGCGGACAATAGGGTGCGACTTGGCATACAATTTTTAAGTCACAGGGCATGCAAATCGCATGCCAAATTGCACCCAATGTGACCGGGGTGTAAATGTTAAAGCTTAGACTGGCCATAAATTATACAATTTTCTTGAGAAATTTGCTTTAGATTTACCAAAAACATATAATATGAGGTCAAACCTAAACAACACTTTCAATTGTATCCAATTAGACAGGCCCTTGAGCTACATAGTTGAAGGTAAAGCTAATGGAAATTGGGCAGAAATTGGACAGAAAATTGTATAGTGTATGGCCAGCCTTAATTGAACAAGCTGAAGTTAGAAGCTGATTGGCTACCATGCACAGCTGCACCAGATTTTGCACTCTCCAGTTTTATTAAATCAACCCCAGTATGTCCACTTCTTCCATGAAAGACTGGATATTTCTGTGGAAGCAGTAGAATACTATAAAATGTAAAAAATATGATGCAACACACATATGTAGGGAAAACACAGAAGGAAAAATGTGAATAATCAAACAATCAATGAAAAGTGTCCTCTAAACAAGAAGAATCTTGTCTTTTCTGGATTTAGTATGTTTAGATTGTAAGCTCCACGAGCAGGGCCCCCCTATTCCTTCTGTACTGAACTGTACTGTCCCCCTATATATTGTAAGGCGCTGCGTAAACTGTTGGCGCTTTATGAATCCTGTATGATAATAATATCACTTACCTGTGCTGATCTCTACAGAAAGTTCCTCATCTTTAATCTTCACATGTCCTTCCTTCTCCTCAACACTGACATCTGTATGAGAAGCTGTGGAGTCTTCGGGGTCTGTGAATAAAGATGAGAGTGAAGCCCCCTGTACTGAGATATATGAGAGACCCCAGAGAGTGTGTGTGGGGGGAGACTGGTCACATCTCAATGACATGATGTGAGGAGGACAGCCGGAGTCTAATAGAGGCTGATGGCTCCTGATCCCCCCACTGGGCACATACTGTCCCCCCATTACTGTCTACTGACAGAGGAGGGGGAGAAGAAGAGATTGTTGTAGTGACTGAACAAGGAGGATCGGGAACTCTTCTCTGGATTTTGGCTCCATGTGCACGGGGCGTTTTAATAATGCTGGTAACGTTAGCTGTGTAAAGTCACGTTAAAAATTTTAGTTTTTCATCATTTTTTTCGCATTTGCGGTTTTCAGCGCTTTTTTTTTTTTTTTTTTTACAAAAAAAATAATTTTTTTTACAAAAAAAATAATACAAAAAAAATTTTTTTTTGGTCAAAAAAAGTCCAAAAACGCCGGCTTGCCACGATTTACCACGTTAGTGTTTTTACAGCTAAAAAACTCCTCTAGAAGCCCACTAGTTCTGGGTTTTTTTCCAGCCAAAAAACGTCCCTGACAAAAAACATTGCTTGCATGGACACATAACATAACATATTGGGGGGTTTACTGGCTGTAGAAAAAAATGTCAAAAGCCAAAAAGAGCCGCTGTAAAAATGTGCCGTGTACGTGAGGACTTACTGTTTATTCCTCACCTGGGCTGATCTCTGGAGGGATTTCATTTTCCTCGTCACCACTCATAAACATCTCATCATCTTCAACTTTAATAACAGTCACCCCATCAACCTAGATAACACAGAGAGGAATCATTTACAAAGTCAGAAGAGTAATGGTTAAAGCTGAACTCCAGCCTGTCCTTAAGGCTCCATGCACACGGGCGTTTTGATAATACTGGTAACGTTAGCTGTGTAAAGTCACATTAAAAACTTGAGGTTTTTCAGCTTTTTTTTTTAGCGTTTTGACGCGTCTTTTCTACAATGAAAAAAATTTTGGGGTAAAAAAAAAGTCCATAAACGCTGGTTTGCTGCATTTTTCAGCATTACAGCATTTTTACAGCTAAAAACTCCCTTAAAAACCCACTAATCCTGGGGGTTTTTTTACGGCCAAAAAACGTTCCTGCCAAAAAATGTTGATTCCAGTCTATGTGTGCATGGATAACATGCTGGGGGGGTTTACTGGCTGTAGAAAGAAACGTCAAAAGCCAAAAACAGCCGCTGTAAAAACATCCCGTGTGCATGGGGGCTTAGTCTTGTACAGTTGTACAGACTCCTCTCCTTTATGAAATGTCTTTTATTTCACTGCACACTATAAGCTTCTCACAAAATGGATTAGAAGCATCATCTAGCCCTTTCCTCCCCAATCTATCTGTCCCTAGCCCCCTACTTTCATTTATTGGATTTCAGTTCTTTCAGTCATGAAGGTTCAGCTTCACCCCGATACAAATCATTAGTATTACCTCATCTGGAATATGCAGTTCAGTTTTGGGCACCAATTCACAAATAGAACATTGGGGAACTGGAGAAAGTACAGAGAAGGGCAACCAAACTGATATGAGGCATGGAGGAGCTCAGCTATGAGGAAAGATTAGAGGAACTGAATTTATTCTCTCCTGAGAAGAGGAGATTAAGGGGGGGGATCCATGATCTCCATGTATAATACATAAGGGGGATATGATCTCCATGTATAATACATAAGGGGGGATATGATCACCATGTATAATACATAAGGGGGGGATATGATCACCATGTATAATACATAAGGGGGATATGATCTCCATGTATAATACATAAGGGGAGATATGATCTCCATGTATAATACATAAGGGGGGATATGATCTCCATGTATAATACATAAGGGGGGGATATGATCACCATGTATAATACATAAGGGGGATATGATCTCCATGTATAATACATAAGGGGGATATGATCTCCATGTATAATACATAAGGGGAGATATGATCTCCATGTATAATACATAAGGGGGGGATATGATCTCCATGTATAATACATAAGGGGAGATATGATCTCCATGTATAATACATAAGGGGGGATATGATCTCCATGTATAATATATAAGGGGGATATGATCTCCATGTATAATACATAAGGGGGATATGATCTCCATGTATAATACATAAGGGGGATATGATCTCCATGTATAATATATAAGGGGGGATATGATCTCCATGTATAATACATAAGGGGGATATGATCACCATGTATAATACATAAGAGGGGATATGATCTCCACATAAGGGGGATATGATACCATGTATAATACATAAGGGGGGATATGATCACCATGTATAATACATAAGGGGGGGGTATATGATCTCCATGTATAATACATAAGGGGGGGGGGGGATATTATCTCCATGTATAATGTATATAATAAGGGGGATATGATCTCCATGTATAATACATAAGGGGGGATATGATCTCCATGTATAATACATAAGGGGGGATATGATCACCATGTATAATACATAAGGGGGATATGATCTCCATGTATAATACATAAGGGGGATATTATCTCCATGGGGGGGGATATATGATCTCCATGTATAATACATAAGGGGGGATATGATCTCCATGCAGAATACATAAGGGGGATATGATCTCCATGTATAATACATAAGGGGGATATGATCTCCATGTATAATACATAAGGGGGGGGGGGGGATATGATCTCCATGTATAAATACATCAGTGGTTCATATAGTGAACTCGGTGTAGAGTTATTACCGAGGTTATTCACTAAATAAATGTAATCTCCAAACACAGAAAGGTTTCTTCACAGTAAGAGCTGTGAGAATGTGGAATAGATTCCCTCAAGAGTTGGTTCTGGCCAGCTCAGTGGATTGCTGTAGGAAAGTCTTGGATTCTTTCTTGGATACACAGAATATAACTGGATATAACATTTATAGGTAAAGTTGATCCAGGGAATATCAGATTGCCTCTCGGGGGATCAGGAATGAATTTTTTCCCCTGCAGGAGCAAATTGGATCATGCTTTGCTGGGTTTTTTGCCTTCCTCTGGATCAACTGTGGGTGTAGGATTATAACTTTTTTTTTTTAATGGTTAAACTGGATGGACTTTTGACTTTTTTCAGCCAGACTAACTATGTAACACATGGCCGTTACCTAGGGTGGTTTGCATACAGTAGACACACACGGTAGACATCTAACAGATGTCAAATTATAAGCAGCACTTGAGTCTGTGCAGCTGCTGCATCCCAAACTGACATCAATGGGGCTGCCTGCATGGGGATGCATGGAGCACCTGTGCATCCAAATATGGCCCTTGCATGGGGTACACATTGATACGCTCCATGGGAATGAGGCCTAAGACAACATCCTTCACATACCTGACAACCCTGTTGGATATTCTCCTGCATGGCATCCCAGGAATCCAGAGGACGGGGACATCTCTCTGGTGGGTTCCTATTACTGGATCCATCTGAAGGAAACACAAACACTGAATGAATACATTGTTTCTATGTCTTTCTATCAGAGGATGTGTGTATCTAGGTGGATCTTCAATACAAGAAATGAAAGTCTCCTCGTACCCGGTGATGTGAGGGGCGGCTGGTTCTCCATCATGACGTCCTTCTACAGATCCTTGTGTCCTTCTATATACTCCCACTTGGCATAATATGTATTCCTAAGTCTATATGAAAAGGAAATTTTGTGTTCATCACTTCAGCTTCCATAAGATTTAGCCCCGCCCCCCCCCCCCCCCCCCCCCCCCCCCACCCCCCCCCCCCCCCCCCCCCCCCCCCCCCCCCCCCGCTTCCTGACCAGGCCATTTTTTTGTGATACGGCACTGTGTTATTTTAACTGACAATTGCGCGGTCATGCAACACTGTACCCAAACTAAATTTATGTCCTTTTTGTCCCCACAAATAAAGATTTCTTTTACTGGTATTTGATCACCTCTGTGGTTTTTACTTTTTTCATTATAGACAAAAAAAGACCGACAATTTTGAGAAAAAAAACCCAATATTTTTTATTTTCTACTGTAAAACGTATCCAATAAAAAAACAATTTTAAAAATCTAATTTCTTCATAAATTTAGGCCAAAATGTATTGTTACATATTTTTGGTAAAAAAAAATCCCAATAAGCGTATAATGATTACTTTGTGCAAAATTTATAGTGTCTACAAACTATGGGACATATACAGTGCCTGGAAAAATTATTCATCGCCCCTGAAATTTTCCACATGTTGTCATGTTACAACCAAAAACGTAAATGTATTTTATTGGGATTGGATGTGATAGACCAACACAAAGTGGCACATCATTGTGAAGTGGAAGGAAAATGAGAAATTGTTTTCAAAACGTTTTACAAATAAATATGTGAAAAGTGTGGCTGCATTTGTATTCAGCCCCCCGGAGTCAATACTTTGTAGAACCACCTTTCGCTGCAATTCCAGCTGCAAGTATTTTTGGGGATGTCTCTTTGCAGAGGGACATTTTTCCCATTCTTCTTTGCAGAATAGCTCAAGCTCTGTCAGATTGGATGGAGAGCGTCTGGGAACAGCAATTTTCAAGTCTTGCCACAGATTCTCCATTGGATTTCGGTCTGGACTGTGACTGGGCCATTCTAACACATTAAGATGCTTTGATCTGAACCATTCCATTGTAGCTCTGGCTGGATATTTCGGGTCATTGTCCTGCTGGAAGGTGAACCTCCGCCCTGGTCCCAAGTCTTTTGCAGACTCTAACAGGTTTTCTGCATTTGGCTCCATCATTCTTCTCATCAACTTTGACCAGCTTCCCTGTCTCTGCTGCAGAAAAGCATCCCTACAACATGATGCTGCCACCACCATGTTTCACGGTGGGGATGGTGTGTTCAGGGTAATGTGCAGCAGGGGCGGACTGACAACTCATGGGGCCCCCAGGCAACAGGGGATCATGGGGCCCCTGTGTCCTTTCCCAAACTCAAAAAAGCCTATGAAAAAGGTACCAGGGGCATCTCATGGGGCCCCCTACTGACCCGGGCCCTCAGGCAGTGCCCAAGTGTTCGAATGGTCAGTCCGCCCCTGATGTGCAGTGTTAGTTTTCCGCCACACATAGCATTTTGCTTTTTAGGCCAAAACGTTAAATTTTGGTCTCATCTGACCAGAGCACCTTCTTCCACATGTTTGCTGTGTCCCCCACATGGCTTCGCACAAACTGCAAATGGGACTTTTTACATGAATTTTACATGATTATCACTAGTACATTTCACCTCCTGTTTTTTGCCTAAGTGCATCAAACCCCTGTTACAGTCACTCTTGATGGTTCTGCCAGCTTTGTCTGAAACCATTTCTAGGGATTTTTTGACGTGTGCTTTGGGTCATTGTCCTGCTGTAAGACCCATGACCTCTGACGGAGACCCAACTTTCTGACATTGGGCCCTACATTGCACCCCAGAATTCTTTGGTAGTCTTCAGATTTCATAATGCCATGCATACGGCCAGGACAGGACATCCAGTGCCTGAAGCAGCAAAGCAACCCCAAAATATCAGTGACCCCCCCCCACCATGTGTGACTGTAGGGACTGTATTCTTTTCTTTAAAGGCCTCATTGCTTTTTCTGAAAACAGTAGAATGATGGACTTTACCAAAATGCTGTAATTTTGTTTCGTCTGTCCACAGCACATTCTCCCAAAAGGAATTCGGCTTCCTCATGTAAGTTTTGGCAAACTCCAATCTTGCTTTTTTTATGTTTCTGTGTCAGCAGTGGGGTCCTCCTGGGTCTCCTACCACAGCATCCCTTTTCATTCCAATGGTGATGTATAGTACGTGCTGACACAGGTGTACCTGGTGCCCGAAGGTCAGCTTGAATTTGTCTGAAAGTTAATCAAGGTTCTTTATCCACCATTCCAACAATTTTTCATTATATTCTTTGATCAAGTTTTCTGCTTCGTCCATGTCCAGGGAGATTAGCTATAGTGCCATAGGCTGTAAACTTCTTGACAATGTTTTGCACAGTGGACACAGGAACATTAGGATCTCTGGAGATGGACTTGTAACCCTGAGATGGTCCATGCTTTTCCACAATTTTTGTTCTCAAATCCTCAGACAATTCTTTGCTGCTCTTCCTCTTCTCCATGCGGCACACAGAGACATACAACAGAAAGGTTGAGTCCATTTTTCACCATTTTAACTGGTTGCCGGTGTGATTTCTATATTGTCAGCCCCTGGTCATTGATACAGGGGAGTTTAATTACAAATTGCAGGAGCATCAACAACTTGAAATGCAATTATTTCTTACAATTTTGAGAAGGTGCTAATAATTTTGCCCATTCCATTTTGGGGTTTTACGTGGTATGTGTCAGATTTGGCTTTTTGCTTCTCCACTTTTTTGTGTCATACCAATACAAACAAAAGAAACAAACATGAGAATGCCGAAACATTTGTGATTGTAACAATGTTCTGGGTGCGTTATCTGACAGAAATGTAGGGGTACCAATATTTTTGGCCATGACTGAAATCATTCATGTTTTAAGAGTACTACACTATATTCTTTGTGTTGGTTCTCTTTTATGGACGTTATATACAACCAACACAAGCTGGAGGAAGAGGCCTTCCCCCTTCTTCAGGACTTAAAGCGGAGCTCCACCCAAAAGGGGAAGTTCCGCTTTAAGCCTTTGTCCCCCGCTCCCCATTAAGGATAGGCACCTTTGGGGAGGAGGGGGGAAGCAGGTACCCGAATTTGACAGGTACCCGCTCCCACTTCCGCTGTGATCGCCTAGGCCAGGGGTGGGCAACTGTGGCCCTCCAGCTGTTGGTGAACTACAAATCCCATCATGCCTCTGCCTTTGGGAGTCATGCTTGTAACTGTCAGTTTTGCAATGCCTCATGGGACTTGTAGTTCCACAACAGCTGGAGGGCCACAGTTGCCCACCCCTTGCCTAGGCGATTGGAAGTGGAATTTGTCCTCCCCCCTCCCTCCCCGCTGTCTTCTAGGACACGTGACAGGTCCCAGAAGACTACGGAACCATTCACAAAACGCAGCGCTTCTCACGCATGCGCAGTGGGCACCCGGCTGTGAAGCCGCAAGCTGTCACAGCTGAGTGCCCACACTGAAGATGCTGGAGCCAGGGAAAGAAGGCAGATGGTGAACCCAGCCGTGGTGAGGACACCGCTGGACCGAGAGACAGGTAAGTGACTGTATTTTAAAAGTCAGCAGCTACAGTTTTTTCGTTTTTTTTTTTTTTAGGTGGAACTTCACTTTAAGACAATCAGCTGTAAATACATCTGACTGCTCATACTGCTAGAAAGAAAAGATAACAATTCAGCCCATATAACCTTTAACCGGGCAATTTTTGGGAATCCAGATGATATTACGGTTTATTCACTGAAGCCCTGAAGAAGGGGGAGAAACGTGTTGGATGAAACAGTTTGGGATGAATCATCAAGCCATATCTTTGTTTGTTTTAGGCGCTCCCAACCAAAAACCTAACAATAGATGACTCCACCATGATCGGAGGCAGTAGCAGTCTAGGACCAAAACTAGGTCCCCACACGCCGTTCTTTCAGTACAGGTTAACCTCCAACAAGGAGATTCACCTATTCAAAAATATATTTTGAGCTAAATTAGTCCAGTACTACCACACCTTCACTATCTGCAGTTTTCAGCTATCTAATCCCTATCCCGCTGAGAAGAGCACCTCCCCCCACCCCCCATTCCCCAGAACCCAAAGCTCACCTTGCTCTCCCACAAACCCAATGCCTCCACAGATGACTGCAGGCAAGCAGCTGGGGATTGGTGAACTCCCATTTACCAGTCTCCTCTGCACTGATTAGTCCTGGAATTGCTCCGACTCCAGTAATATGCAATAAATCACACTGAAAATTAAAAAACTTTAAAAATAAGCCAAATATGTGCAGCAATAGAAATAGCACAAGTGTAATATTATTGTATATTTGTAAGCACTTTTGTGTTTTTAAATGACTAAAAATACTGATAGCCCAGGGGTAGGCAACCCATTACTCCAGATCCAGCACTCTAGGTCAGGGGACTCTGATGGGGAGCCTCTTGTAAGGGGGGCACTGATAAGGAACCTGATCAATATCCCCTGTTATATCAGAGTCCCCCTTACATCGCAGTCCTCTCAGAGTCCCGTTACATCAGGGTCCCCATTAGAATCCCCCCTTTACATCAGAGCCTCCCCTTAAATCAAGGTCCCCATCAGAGTCCCCCATTATTTTTTATTTATTTCAGGTACTTACATAGCGCCATCAATTTACGCAGCACTTTACATATATATTGTACGTTCACATCAGTCCCTCACCCTCAAGGAGCATACAATCTAAGGTCCCTAACTCACATTCATACATACAGATACTAGGGACAATTTAGACGGGATCCGATTAACCAGCATGTCTTTGTAGTGTGGGGGAGGAAACCGGAGTACACGGAGGAAACCCACACAGGCACAGGGAGAACATACAAACTCGAGGCAGGAGGTGCCGTGGCTGGGATTCGAACCAACAACCCTAGTACTGCCAGAGGAAAGTGCTAACCATTACATGCAAAGGGGAACTCTGATGGGGACCCTGATGAAAGGGGGAGCTCTAATTGAGATCTTGATAGGGACCGTGATGCAAAG